GTTTCCGAATGCGACGGAGGCTACACGTGAGCCATGGATACACCGTTGAGGCGCAGCCGGCGGCTTGAAGGCTTAAAACCTCTGTCTCTAGAGACCCTTCCTGACCCCGCAGTTTCCCGAGCGAGACGGGCCCTTCTCGAGTTTGAGTCGAACCCAGAAGAAACCAGCGAACCCAAGTCTCCGAGAGTGCAGCCACTGGAAACAAGTCCCGGATCACCGTGTCTGAAACAGGAAGCAGGCTTTGGGTCCCCTCAAAGGCAGCCAGAGCCTGACCCCGGGTCCCTGCAATCTCAGCAAGATCTGGGCCTGGGGTCACCTACAGAACAGACAGAATCGAGTCCGGAAGCCCCCCAACGAGAGACGTCATCCAAATCTCTTCCCACACAAGGAGAACTGGACTCAGAGGTGGTACACGCTAAGGAGTTGATCCCAGGATCCCCAGAGCCTTGCCCGGGCCAGCAAGCACCGGGTCCCGAGCCCTCTCAGCCAGTACAGGAGCTGACATCCCAGACACCCAGCTTCCCACAGCGCCAACAGGAACCAAACAAGCTACCTCCAGCTGGCAAGACGGTGACAGGTGGCCTCGACGTAAAGAAACGAGTTATACCTTCTCCCCAGGCCCCGGCACCCAAGAAATTGAAGGAGGAGGAGCTTCCTGTAATCCCGAAGGGGAAGCCCAAATCCGGGCGCGTGTGGAAAGACCGCTCCAAGAAAAGGTAAAGTGGCGAGTGGGGGTAGCATGGGCGATGGGTGGGGTTATCCGTGTGTCGGACCCTGCCTTCTCCCGAATGCTATCCCAGGGTTGGGAGAGCGCTTATCCCAGTGAAGTTAACAAACATATCATAGTCAGAATGAGGGAGCCCCTCGGTGGTCATTTCTCTAAGGTTGTCTGCCCTCAAGCGGGGTTCTTTTGAACTTCCCTTCCATCTTTTTTATTTTGAGACAGGGTCTCATTGTGTAGCACTGCCTGTCCTGGAATTCACGGAGATCTGCCTGAGTCTGCCTCCTTAGTGCTGGAATTAAAGGCATGCGCCACCACACCCGGCCCTTCAATCCTCTTGTCCGGAGTTCAGTTCCAAAAATATTTACTTTGTCTGTCACATCTGGTGAAGGAGGCAGAATAAGAAAAGCACCCATTGCTTGGACACAGCGAAGTCCTTTCCTCTGTTGTCTGCTGGTGATTGTCTTTGATAAAATGTATCACCAGACACTGGTTATGTAGCACTTTTCAGTAGGGACAGAGGGACCAAAGGGAGAGTCTTTGACACCCAGCAGCACATGTAATCACATTTAATCTTTATCTCTGCCGTTTGGAGCAGGTGTTACTGTTATTGATGTTGTACATGTGAGGAAACCAAGGCCCAGGTAGGCTAAAGGAGACACAGGATGTGAGCATGGATTTGATTACAAAGCATGTGATCAGAACCCATTAACCTGCCTCTGTTGATCTGACTTGACTCAGGTTGCAGCCTTCTTAAAACAAGAAATCTTCCTTGTCCTTTCAGTGCTGGGGCATCATAAATGCTCAATTCATCTCTTTGGGTGAAGGAATGAGGAGTCTCATAAGGAAAAGGCATCATTAGGGAACAGCAGAGAAGTAGTAGTGGGGTTACTTGAAATTTCTGCTGGGGGAAGGTGAAGTAGGGTTCTGTTGAAATTTCTACCAGAGACAAGAATTTGTAACAGAAAGGGAACCTGACATGGGGGTTTTTAGAGAAAATGACATTGACTGGGGGTGGACTGAGCCAGGCTTTGCACAGGCTCTTCACAGATACCATTTTGTTATAGTCTTAAACCCTAGGCACTGGGTATTGCTCCTCCCCCATGCACACCCCATTAAACAGAAGCAGGTGAAGCTTAGAGAGAAAGGCACCAATCAGAAATTTTGAAGCATCCCCTTTTCCCTGTGTCAGCAAGTCACAGTAGCCAGGCAACTGATGGCCACACATAAACAGCCAAAGAGGTTGGTTCAGGCTGGCAAGAGAGTGACTGAGCTAGCTGAGTTCAGTGTAGAGCTTTGGGCCCTGCACTCACCCTCAGATGGGGAGGGTAGGTTTACTGAGTAAGAAGGGGCTGTGATATGCTGAGTGGGAAGAAGAAAAGAACCAGCAGAGCTGGGAAGTAAGCCTGGAACACTCCACCAGTAAGGGATAGGAGGATACTTGGTCCCAGCTCTCCCAAGCTGTTGCCACTCTATACTCTGTTATCTGCACACAGGAGGGTGCAATGGCTGAGAGGCTTCCTTGTGCAGGGTCACACAGGCAGTGAGTGATGGGCTCAGGACCAGGCATCTAGGCCTGTCTTCCATCTCCAGTAACTGGTGCTGTCCATCAGCACTGTCTCAGTACTTTAGTGAGTTCACCAGCCATGTGTGATTATTTACATTAACTTTATTGAATGAAATAAAGATCCTCTTGAGTTTTCTTAACATGGACCACAATTTAAGTGTTTCAGCAGCCTGTGTGTAGTGACTCCCTTTCAAGAAAGATGAGATGGGGACCATTTCCATGATGCTGCTCTAAAAAGACATAGCATCATGTCTTGTGGCTCTGACTCCTCCGGGCTTCCATCATCTTGTTCCTTCTGGGTTCTTGAATCTCAGATTTTAAGGGTAAGAAGGAAGTCTACCACAGACCCACTGCTCTGTTTTTAGGTAGTGGGGTCTTGAGCAAGCCTCTGTGGACCTGGCAGGGAAGGATATCAGAAGTTACCAGTGCAGTGGGGCAGGGTAGAACCAGACTGCTTATGAATAAGCCTGGGGCCAAGTTCCAGACTATGAGTGTCAGGGAGCAGACCTCTCAGAAGAGCAGTGTTGACCTTCATCTGGTCAGGAACAGAGTGCCCAGCATGCACCCAGACCTTCAGAGACAGGGTTGCTTCAAGATACCCTACTAACAGACAGAAGTAAATAGGAACACCTGTGGGAGTCAAAGTCGAAGTGTAGGAAGCAAAGGGCACCATGAAAGGATCTGCTGAGGAGCCTTGGAGTTCTAGGGGAAAGAACAAGACCATGGGATGCCCAGCAGGCTTGGCAGGTGATGGAGGAGGAAGCACACATGGAGACTTGTCCTCATTTTATTTTTACTTTTTATCACGGAACTTTTGAATGGTACAGAAATGGGAAGAGCTGAGTTTTATGAGTCTCACCACCAGTTTCAATAGTTCTCAGCCTTTCCTGGCCCAGCTTCATTGCCCTGCACTTTACCCTCCTAGAATGTTTTAATTTAACTTTACCATCCTAATACGTTCTTACAGAAGTCACCTCCATTCTTCTATGGCTCCTAAGAACATTTGACTCTGCAGAAAAGAAAAGCTGAAATCCCCTAATCCCACTCCTCCACCTTCACCTCGCACCCCCACATCCCCCCCCAAGCTGGGAAAGAATTAGAATTGTTACAGAAAAGCACCCTTGTTCTTGCTGTTTGGAAGTACAGCCACACCCCTGTAGGGAGGGAGCATCTCATTTTCAGAGGTATTCACTCACGGGTTGCCATGTTTGGTGGCAACAAAACCTTATAGCTGAGGACATGCAAGCACAGAAAAGTTCAAGTCCCAACCTATACTCAGGAACAAGAAGACTCTAGGAGTCTTGGTTTGTTCCTCTAGAAATGGGAAGCCCAAGCCCACCTCAGAGTTAGAGCCACGCACTTATTGGTTTGTCTGTTCCATCCTGAGTTCCTATAGAAAGCTGAATGCCAGGCAGGCAGGGGAGGCCAGGAAGCAGACCCAGAGCTCAGTGAGAGCAGAGGGTGAAGGCCACACCACAGAGATCCCCTAAGTGCCTCCTTTCCTTCCAAGGTTCTCCCAGATGGTTCAGGACAAGCCCCTGCGTACCTCCTGGCAGCAGAAAATGAAGGAGCGTCAGGAGAGGAAGCTGACCAAGGATTTTGCCCGGCACCTAGAGGAGGAGAAACAGAGGCGCCGGCAGGTAACAGGACATCCGGCCAAGTCTGGATCATACATGCCAAATACATGTGTGCTGCAACAGACATGGCTGCAGGATTATGACTTACTCAGAGCCCTGGGCATGAGGGTCCCAGGGGGAAAAGAGTGGTCTAGGGCCATGGTAGCATTCCCACTGTACCATCCAACTCAACCTCTGGCCCAAGGCCATGCAGGAGACCTGGAAGTAGAATGAGGAGCCCAAGATGAAGACCAACAAGCCATCTTGGTGGCAGGAGTATTCAATGTACTTACAAGGAAAAAGCTTGTCTCAAATTTGCTGCTGTCATTTTAGAAGAGACTCCTATACACCATTGCCTTTCAATCCACTTCTCTGGTGCCCATCCATAACCAAAAATGTCCTTGTGAAAGGTTCATGCCTGTGAGCTAGGGACATAGCTCAGTGGTAGAGCGCTTGACTGGCATGCACAAGGTCTTGAGTTCCAGCACCACAGAGGCTTATTTCCAGCACCTTCGGCCTCCAGGAAGCCTTGGAAAGAGCCCCAGTACCACTTCAACAGGCAGTACTGAGAAAGCAAGGTCATGCTGGATTGGTCAGCAGCACTGTCCCCAGCATCAAGTTCAGGTGTCACTACTAGTCTGAAGAGCCCAAGGTGTAGAAGGAACACGGATACAGTATCAAACAACTTGTCTCAGATCTATGGTTCCAGCTTGGCCACTGAGAAGAGGGATGGGCCGGTCACTAAGGCATTTCTCCACCTTGCTTTGAGTCACTCCAGATCTGTCTGTTACTGAGCCCTCATCTCTTTTCCTGTACAGCCTTAGCTCCCTCTCGGGCAAAACAGTTGTCTTCTCATGAGCAACTGGAGGTACATCCTCCCAGCTCTCCTCCTAATACATAGGAACAAAGGTCTCTTCCTCCCCAATGGCCCAATGAATGACTCAAAGTTGTCAAAGCCACAAAAGCCCTGACCACATAGCATTTAGTGTTGGAGCCATCATCCCTGTCCTAGCCCTGCTAGTACAGTAGCAGCATACCTGGGAAGCCCTGGGCTTCCCATCCCCAGACAGGCTCTGGGTGTTCCCAGAGACCCGGTTCTATGCCAAGCCTTGCTCACACACTTGTTTCTCTAGTCAGTTCCTGTGGTCAGCCTTACCATAGAGGTGAGGAAGTGGAAGCGTAGACAGTAACCTAATTAGAAAGAAGCAGAAAGAAAACTCCAACTGGACCAGGTTCCAGGTTCTTCCATAGCCTTTTGACAGCTCAACCTGCCCAACCCTACCTGGGATCAGGTGCAGAGCCCAGCTATATTCTGGCCTTGCATTCTCATTCTGGTCCACCTGAGCCTGGGCAGAAGGAAACCTGGGAACATAGCATAAAGGAGGGAACCAGCCTAGCCCTCTCCCTGGCAGCTAGTGCATGGGATGGTACAAGAGGCCCTTCTGCCTGCATGTGACTTCTGGGTGGGGAGGCACCCACATCTGTGTAGGCCCCTGCCCTCAGACATCTGTTTACCCACCTTTCTAATTTAGAATCAGGTTCTCTTGCCACAGTGGGCCTCAGCTCCAGGCCTACAGCATAGGCATTGTACCCCATTGTTCTTCCCCAGGAGTGCCTAGGCCTCCACCCCTCCCCACTAGGAACAACCTGGAAGTCCAAGCAGGCTTCTCCTGGTTGTGCCAGTCTCACCAGGGTCCTGAGATACTAGCACCACCCCCTCACCCCTCACTCCACCCCCCAGCTCCTAGTGTGAGATCCCCTTCTGTGTGTTTCAGGAGAAGAAAGAGCGCCGGGCTGAGAACCTGAAACGCCGCCTAGAGAATGAACGAAAGGCTGAGATTGTCCAAGTGGTGAGTACACCCGTGCAAGAGATGCAGGCTGTGGCCAGGTGAAAGAGGCCTTTAAGGTGCTTGGGCTCCCTGCCTTTCATGGCCCACTGTCCTGCTGCAGTCCTGGCCCCAGGGACAGACATAGGGTCCTCAGCCACACTGATGCCTCCTATTCCCTTCTTTCCCAGATCCGAAACCCTGCCAAGCTCAAGAAGGCGAAGAAGAAGCAGCTGCGCTCCATTCAGAAGAGAGACACCCTAGCCTTGCTCCAGAAGCAGCCCCCCCAGAGGCCTGTAGCCAAGGTCTGAGCTCAGGACAGCCTGGAGCCTCCACAAGCCAAGAGCCACAGCAGACAAGCCACCTCTCAGGCCACTGTCAGACATCTCTCCTGGCGCCAGCACACCAACTGTGTTGCATTAAGACAGGGAGAGCAGCCCAGAGGGACCTCACAGGGTCTCAGGAGAGATTTAGCTGCCTCCATCTCCTTTCAGGTCTTTGCCAAAGTGCCTTAGGGTAGTGGTGGTGCACACCTTTAATCTCAGCACTTTGGGGGGTGGGTGGTACAGAGTCAGGCAGATCTCTGAGTTTGAAGCCAACCTGATCTACAAAGTTCCAGGACAGCTAGGGCTACACAGAAGCCCTGTCTCCAACAACAATTAAAAAGAAAAAGAGAAAAAAAAAAAAGATCTTGAACTGTGAATTCGTGTTCTTCAGTGAGCTGTAACTAACTCCCTGTCTCAGGGTCCTGGGTCTAGTCCATACTTGGAGGTCTGATGTCACAAGTCAGTGCCCCCATTGTCCCAAAAGCCAGCCACCTGTTCTGCACCTTCTGTCCCCTCTGCTGACTGAAACCAGCCCCTCCCTGTAAAGTGGGGAGGTTGCAGAACTGGGTTCCTCTCTAGCACCCGTTTCCCACAATGGACTGTAGCCTTAGGACTTGAGCCAGGCCCAGCTGGTCTTCCACAGAAGCGTTTATTGATGTCTGCACAAGTACAGTCTGGACTTCCAAAAAGACACAAGTCCCTGCCCCATTGGACTTTCATTCTTACAATAACCAATTAAAATGCATGGTGTAACAGGTGTGATGTGCTCTGAGTAAAGCAGGAGGGAGTAGAGAGTGACATTTTACTGTCCAGTTTGAGAAGCACTTGCCTTGGGCTTGAGGCCTGCTTGGCACTGAGAACTGACAACCAGCCTGGCCTTAAGTGGTTCGGGAGAGGCTGAGAATGTCTCCCCTCTGCTTTTCACATCACCAGTTTAGTGACATCCAATTCCCCTTCCCCTGGAATGGAGAGATGAGTCACAGCTGGCTGTCCTGCAGTTGATCCACGGTGGGGAAGACATTAAATGAGTGTGGTGCAAGGTCCATGGCTGACACAAGGTGCCTGCCCTCCTACCTGCAGGTTGGAAGTGATAGCTGCCAGGCCCTGTCCTGTGAGACAGCTGTAATACTGAGGGTAGTTGGAGGATGTTTTCTCTGGATAGACTTGAACCTGTGATGCTGAAGGCTAGAATGCAGGTTCTAGCAGCCTCAGCTCTGAAACTGGGCAGTGAAGATGCCTCACTGAAACTGAGCTGGAGTTGACACACCTATAAGGCTAGCAAGCTGACCAGCAAGGTTGTGTGATACAGGCATCTGGTTCAAAGGCCAACTGGGGGTTAAAAAATGAAGGTAGTGGGCTGAAAACTGCTTCTCAACCCTTCTCCCACTGTACCCCCAGATACACTGTTGTTCATTGGCAGAGCCTGCTCCCCATCCACAAAGCAGTGCCTTAATGACATGTGGGCTGTGAGTTTAACCTGTATGACTCCAATTGTCCTTGGGGCAGCTGCCTGGGAGGTATTAGAAGTACAAAATCTCATTCCCACCCTCATCAGCTACCCTAGCAAGATCCTTAGGAGCTTCAAAGTGTAAAATCCCGGGTGGCCAGTGGTCAGGAACCCGGTAACTCCTTCAAAAGCCACTTCTGCACCCTTCGGATCCTCTTCCCAGCTCCACACTGCCAGATTAAAATGTTTAGGAGAGGCTGCTTTCTATTTGCTTTGCTCCTGAAGATGCAGTCCACAAGCTGGTTCACCTAGCATTGGCTATGTACATTTTCAACAGAGTGGCGAGATGCCATGGGGTGTGTTGGTGTGCCATCCCAGTTATGCTTGTCTAATCCGAGGTGGAGCTCAGAGCGTGGTTCAGTGAGCCTTGCTTCTCCAGGGACTGCACTGGGACTCTCTGCTGGGACTTTGTACCACCACCCCGCATCCAGCGGATCAAGCCTGAAGGATGCAACGGGGGAAGGCGGCCCGCCAGCAGGAGGGTGGAGGTTGAGGTGGCAGTGGAGGAGGCCCGGCGGCGGCGGCTGCCAGACCCACCACTCAAGTCGCTGTCCTCCACCAACACGCTTTCAAACACCGCGAGCAGGGAGCGCTTTAGTTTGTGCATCATGTCCGGACAGGTGAGCACGTAAAGCAGGGGATTGACCACACTGTTGAAGAAAGCCAGGCTGGTGACGAAGGGCAGCCCACGTAAGGCGAGGTGCCTTTGCGTGGTGACAGCCTGTGCATGTGCCTCCAGCAAACTGAAGACATGGTAGGGCCCCCAGCAGAGCAC